ATGCGCACATCAAAGAAGGAACCAAAAGTAATAAAAAAATTGCCAATTTAATTGGAGTTTCTGAGAAATGCGTTCGGATAACGAAACAAAACTTTCTTCACACTGGTGGTGCCAACGAAAAAACGAGGAAAGGTAGACCCTTGTCAACCACCAGAAAGGACGATAGTGTTCATTTTAGAGCTGTCAGAGCTAATCCAAGAATTAGTTACAGAGATTCAACCACAGAATTCAATACAACGCAAAATACATCTATTTCTCAAAGCACAGTCCGCCGGATACTTATCAAAAACAAGATTGGAGTCTACACTGCTTTTGCGAGAAACCGCTTCTGCGTCCATATGATAAACAAAGGAGACTAAAATGATGTCGTGAAAGAAGGTATTGGACAATAGAACAATAGGAAAACATTATGTGAAGTGATGAGAGTAACTTTGAGCTTATCAATCGCAAATCTAACACAACAGTCAAAAGAATGGCTCATGAAAAGTATTATGCCAGGTACATTAGACCGACAGTACAAAGTGGAGGAGGCTTAATAGGAATCTGGTCATGCTTCAATTACAAAGGTGTTGGTATGTGCCAAACACACACCGGAAGAATCAACTCCAGAATATACGTAGAAGTACTGGAAAACAACTTAATTCCATCAATTGACCTGCTTTTGCTCAATGATAAACCATGGAAACTTGAACAAGATGGCGCTACTGCACATACTGCATACTATGCAAAGGAGTGGTTCAATGATAATAGTATCATGACAATACAGTGGCCTCCATACTCACCTGATTTAAACCCGATTGAAAACATTTGGGCTTAGATTGACCGTGAATTAGCAAAGGTTCAAATTTCCACACTTACATAGCTAAAGGAATTACTTAAGGAGAACTGGTATGGGGTCCCAGAAGCGATGTGCAAAAAATTTGTTGAGTCTATGCCTAGAAGAGTTCTAAGTTGTATTAAAGCCAAAGGCGGATACACAAAATAATGATTGGTTCATAAGTTACGCCTTCTAATGTATCGTGCGTCTAAATTTATGAATAATTTTTTTTGTCTAATTTTTTTAATACCATGTAGTTGTACCTAATTATTACTTAGTATTTCATTTTTTTTGTAAACTTTTTTTAAATTTTGTATTCTGTATGTATTTATCTAATAAATAGAAAAAAAACTAAACTAAAATCTTTTTTCGTCATTGTTTTATCGTTGAAAAACTAAAAATTATTATTCTCAAATATGAGTGCGTCTAAATTTATGAAAACCACTGTATATATATATATATATATATATATATGTATATATATATATATATATATATATATATATATATATATATATATATATATATATATATATATACATACATATAAACATATATATATATATATATATATATATATATATATATATATATATATATATATATGTATACATATATATACATATATACATGCATATATATATATGCATATATATATATATATATATATATATATATATATATATATATATATATATATATATATATATATGTATAAAATAATAAAAAAAAGTAAAATTGTATGCTTCCAAAACTAAAGCAACTTTAAAAAATTAACTCAAAACCTTGCTAATAGTACTTGTCTATAAGATTTATTTCTTCAAAATTAGATTAATATCAATAATCAATAACATATCCTTTGTTTTTTATAACATTTCTACAACGACATGGCATTGATTCAATCAATTTATGAATTTGTAACTTATTTACTTCCTGCCATGCTTGTTTGAGCTCGATGTACAACTGATCAGCATTACTAAATGTTCCTTTCAGTTGGGTGGTGTTGTCTAATTGCTTCTAAAGGTTTTCAATGGGGTTGAGGTCTGGTGAATTAGCAGGCCATTTCATTAAACTGATTTGGTTAGTATTAACCAGGTTTTAATAAGTTTAGAAGCATGTTTACAGTCATTGTTGTGCTGGAATTGCCATCTTAAAGGTATATTATCAACAGCAAAAGGAACCATTTGTTTTTCCAAAATATCTTCATATATGAAACGACCCATAATGCCCTTGATTTGAAATAATGGTCCCAAACCGGAAAAACCTGAAAAACTTTCCCAAACCATCACTCCTTTATTACTACTATGTTTAAAAACAACTCTTGCATACTTTGGTTTATTCGCTTGCACTTTGGACATCTTACGGTTTTTTTTTCATCTGAATGATGCAGGTTAAATTTTGACTCATCACTCCATAAAATGTGACTTCATTGTTCTACTGTCCAATTTTTATGAGCATGGGCAAATTCTAATGTAGCTTTTCTATTTTTATCTGAAATAAACGGTTTTTTTGCAGTTCTGTAACTAAATAGTCCTGCTATATCAAGACGTCTTCTTACAGTATTTTCTGAAACTTTTAGTTCTAATTCATTAATTACATCTCAAGCAGTAGCAAAAGGATGCTTTTTCACAAATCTCACTAATCTGCGATCAGTAACTTTTGATGTTTTGGGGGGATGACCCCTGTTGCACTTTGGTTCGACAATGCCTCTGACTTTGTTTCTGCTGATCCATCGGTTGATCACCGATTTTTCTGCATTATACTTGACAGATAGTTCATGTTGTTGAACTCCATCACTAAAATCAGAAATTACTTTTTGCTTAAATAAGGTACTATACTTATTTCTTGCCATTATTTAATCCTAAAATGTTAGAATTATATATCAAAGTTTATTGTTACAACAAAATGATATTTTAATAATAAAGTTGTACTTTCAAAACAAAATAACTAATTAAAAAAAAGAAGTTTATCTACTTAACTGATTTACTGAAATTAAATATATTTTTGTGGTTAATTTATTGTTAACTTTGGTTTTATTGTTAAAGTTGCTTTTGTTTTGAAGTTTATTTAAATTTTTTAAATTACTGGTATTTTGCACGCAATTTACTATACTATTTTTGTTGTTAAATATAAAATTATTTTAAGAATTTGTTTCAATTGTATTAATAAGTATGATTTTGCAAAGTTAAATAAAAAAATAACATAATTTGTATCTATAAATAAAGATTTTTCAATTTAGTCATGTTGTTTCCAAAGAAATTGCTTAAGTTTTGTAAGTCACTGTATGTATATATGTAATATATATATAGATTTGCTATACATTAAAAAGCTATAACAATCATATTCACAATTTGATTGTATATATGACATTTAGAGGTTGCTTCACAACTTTTAATCCAAGTTTGCTCAGCCTCCTTTTACCAGAGCTCCAAGTCAGCTTAAAGTGGCCCTGTGTGAAAGTATTTATGAAAATCACAAGCATCAAATAAACAAAAGAAAAAAAAGTTTAATGAAATACATAATCAAAAGTTTAATTAGATATAAAAAATGCTAACACGCTATGAATAACCTTTAGATAAAACTTTTAGAAAGTAATTAAAAAACTGGGTAACAGTTATAATAGTACATATTATTGTTATTAAATAAACAAACAAAAAATTAAAGGTTGAAAAGTAAATCAAATGAAAATTATTTTAAGATTTTTAATTGACTAAATCGACTTTTAGTTGATTAGTAGGAAGCCTGTAGTCGATTAAATCAATTATTCAATTTTTCAAAGTTGACTGATTTTGACTTTCGCCTAGTAGACTTTTAGTCAATTTATTTCAAGTTGATAACAACACTAATAAAACCATTAAAATTTATTTAAGAGTTTGTGATGTAAGAGTCGTAAATTTGGTTTCCGAAATGATGTCATCACATAATCCAGGTTAAGAACACTGTCACAAAAACTACTTTCATGGCATTACATTTCCAATGTTTTCTTAACTTTTCTGTTATAACTATTTATTTTAATCTTTATAGCATTGCAACTGTTCCAGTTAAAATTTCCTTGACAAATTTTGGAACGCTCAGCTAAATTTTTGTGAATTCAGAAAATTCAGCATCAATAGAATTTTTCTATGTTTCATTGTTGTGCATTTATTTGATGTTGGCACATATAAAACACTATCTTTAGCTCTGTTTCACTTGATTTATCAGTAAGCTCTCAGTAAAATGTAAGTAAAAAGTAAAAAATTAAGAGCAGTATAAAGCTATTTGAGGTAGAGGTCTAGTAGTAAGTAGTAAATAACCAGGGGTGGTATATGGCTGTGGCCAAGGCCGGTTCTACGGATGGGGCTGCATAAATATTGGTGCATATTGACTAATTTTTATACATTATATCAATATTATGTTTCAATATTTATACAGCCCTAGCCATAAATCCGGTTTTGGCCCAGGCCCAACACCAGCCCCGTTGTTTACTAGCTCTAAGTTCATTTAATTTAGATTAGAAGCATGGGTAATTGCACAATTAATCACTTCTCTGCTCACATATAGTTCTGCAAAAAACTATTTTGTTTTGTAATACTTAAATAAGTCTTTAAATATCCGTGAAGTAGTTTGATAAACTAAGTTTTAACACTTTTTAAACTACAACTAGATGAAAAAATTTAGAAAAAAATGCATTGGTTTTTAATATAGTTAAAAAACAAAATATTTAAAATTTGTTGTATAATTATAAACTAATTGATGAACAACAGGCAAAATCCGAATATTATATATACATAATTTTAACAATTTAAACTAGTGTTAAAATTTTTTATATCATTGCTAATAATAATAATGTCAAACAAATTCTACAAAAAGAGCTATAAATAAATTGTTAGATTAGGTTGAATATATAAAAGTATTAATTTATATGAAAAATATAAAAAGATAATGTTTTAAAAGATATTCAAGTTGATCACTTTTTAAAAGATAATACTTTAAAAAATATTAAAAGTTGATCAAATTTTAAAACAATATAATGTGGTATGTTAACATTAAACCCAATTTAAATACTCAAAGATATAAACTAAGTGTTTTGTGCCTTGTTATTGCATAAAACAATTGAACAAAAGTTGGGAAAAAAAATAAGAAATTTAAAAATAAATAAATAGACGCTTCAGATAATAAACAGATGAATAGTAAATAAATGTACCTAACAGGTGTTTCATCTTTATCATGAACTTTATCAACCCAAGTTGGAATAGCTCTCATTTTTTGAAACTAGAACATGCAATTAGAATAACATAAGTTCAACCATTTTAACTCTTAGCGACATTAGAAAGAAAAAAGTTAATTTCTTTTTAAATTAGTTTAATCTAAAAACACATATATTATTCAATAACACAACAATAAACACACATTAATAATGTGTATTTATTGTGTAATAGTATATGATATAATAATTATTAATGTCATTAATATTGACTTTTTTAGCATTGATATCGATAATGACATTATTGATATATCAATAATGTCATTATCGATATCAACGCTAAAAAAGTCAATATTAATGACATTAATAATTATTATATCATATAGTATTACACAATAAATACACATTTATCGATATCGATATAGTTGGTTTTATATCGATATCGTTATAATAGTTGGTTTTATATCGATATCGATAATAATATTGATAAAGTTATAAAATGCTGAAAAAAATATTTACACTACTTTTATTTTAACTTTATATATTAATCTAATTTATGCATCTATAAACAAATGACTAAAAATAAGTAGATGATAATATTAAGAAAACGATTGGATTTTACAAACGCATATATCAAGTACACTATTTACATATATTTTTTAATGAAAAACCAGGACGATTGAAGGTTGCGAATAAACAACTTTAAACAAGAAGTCATTGCAGCATTTAGTTGGTTACTGATTGAAACGAAACCTTCCGAGGTTATGGTAATGCAAAATAAACATTTAACTTTTAAACAAAATTCCAAAGGGGACAATTTTATGGAGAGGGGGACGGTGCAACACCTTTCCAATTGAAAAATAGCCTTCTTGAAAATAGCCTTCTTTTGACAAAGAAGGCTATTTTTAATTGGTAGTTGGTTTTTTATAAAAAAACTCTGCTAGTCGAAATCGACACATTTCATTCGGCAGTTTTAAGAACCTTTTTTTAATTTTATAAAGCAGTCGGCAGTTTTTGAAGATTAAAATTCCCCTTTTCCTTCTTCATATTATTTCTAGAATCGTCCCTGAATCAGAAAATTCCAAATAATTTCAATTAAAAAAAAAAAATTTATGATTATAGAAGTATGATAAATAAAAAAGTGTAAGTGTATTTAAGAAGTCGTGGCAGAGTGGTTAATTTTCTAGCTCAGAACCAAGAGGTTTGTGTTTCAACTCCGACTCTAGCCCCCTGGTTAAATACTTTTCCGCAGTACTCTTTGATAAGACCAGGGCCTTGCCTACTAAAAGGCAAACGGGCCGTGCCTACTAATAGGTCCCAAAATCTAAGGGGTTTTAAGTTATTCAAAATTTTAAAGTAAAAAAAGAACTTAAAAATTTAATTTACAGTAAATGTCTTTGAAGCGGAGACCATTACAGTATTCAAGGCCGGCGCGATAGAGGGTGCGGGGGGGGGGGGTTAGACTAGTTTATTTAGACTAGTTATTCAACAAATGTGGTCCCTTTTGATATAGGTTAGTCGGTAATCTAGACAGTCGGCAAATGTCGTCATGGCAGTCGGCAAATTTTGGAAAACGATGACCTTTTTTTTTTTTTTTTGTACCAAACCCTTTGGCAGAACCTGCATCAATTAAAATATCAAGGGAACTATCACCAACAAAAATTCCTGAAGTTGAGTTTCACAAGATTTCTTTAAATCCTGCAGACTGGTCTGATGATTTATCTCATCTCTAAAAATAATTAGTTCTATCAGGACCAATTTAGGTAAAGGATTATGCTTCCCCAAAGAGTTGCTTTTCCAATTCCAAAGCAAAACAAAGATTTTATGCTTCAAACTACAATAGAAGATTTTTTGCTTCAAACTACAAGGCGGCCGTGGCACAGTGGTAAGAGTGTTTGCTTTATAAACAGGAGATCCAGGTTCGAAACGAGCTTTAAACATATTTTCGCGTCACGGTAAGGAAGGAGGCGTAAACTCCGTGGTTAAATGCACTTCCGCAGTGTTCTGTGACAAGACCGTTAGGTCTTCTTAGGGCACCTAAATAACAATAAAATAACAATAAAAAAATAACAAGATTTCTAACAAATAATCAAACCATAACAAGATCATGGCTTGTATACTCAAAAAAAGCAAATGCTATATACTGTTTCTGCTGCAAGGTGTTTAGTGTCAATAAACAAAAACTTAGTAGCAGTGGCTTTCAAGATTGGAAAAACATTTATTCCATGTTAAGTGAGCATGATTGTTCACAAGAGCACAACAACTCCTGGATGACATGAAGGAGCTAAAAAGTCGCTTGAAAGCAAACAGTACAATTGATCAACAGAATCAGAGCATCTTACAGCAAATACAGCAATACTGGCGGTCAGTAGTTGAGAGAGTTGTGGGAATTATTCAATATTTGACAAAAAATAATTTGGATTTTCATGGCAAGGAGGTAAACCTTTTTGCACATGGGAATGAAAACTTTCTTGGTCTAGTGGAATTATCGGCAACGTTTGATACTATTATGTAGGATCATGTTTGTCAAGTAACCAACAATCAGTTGCCAAATCATTATTTTAGCCACAGGATTCAAAATGAGTTAATCATACTTATGTCAAGAAAAGTGCAAACTGAAATTATTCATCGTGTAAATGCGGAATAATACTATGCCCTCATATTGGATTGCACTTAAGACTTGGCCCATGATGAGCAAATGACTGTAGTGGTACATTTTGTCAAAACTTCAGAAAGTTCTCCAACAATAAAAGAATATTTTTGGGCTTCCTGGTAGCTGAAGATCAAACAGGTCAAGGAATTACAAAATTAATTACTACCTTTCTGACTGAAAACAACATAAATATTGATGACTGCAGAGGACAAGGATATGACAATGGAAACAACATGAAAAGTCTCATCAAAGGAGTATAAGCATGAATTCTGGAATAGAACCCTTTAGCTTTCTTCTCTCCGTGTGTGCCCATTCATTAAATCTTACTGTTTCTGATGCAGGTAAATGCAATGTATCCACAAAGTTGTTTTTTGGATATCTTCAACGCTTGAATGCATTTTTCTCAGCATCACCACATAGATGGACAATTATGGAACAATGTGTTGAAGCATCAATAAAGAAATGGAGTGAGACACGCTGGGAATCTTGAATAGAACGAGTAAAAGTTGTTAGGAACCATTTACCTAAAATTTTGAAGGCACTAGAAGAATTAGAAGACTCAAAAAGTGATCTCTTTGCCTTTGCTGAACTGAGATCTTTGACAAACGAATTATCATCAAATGCCTTCACCATAAAGACTGTGGTATGATATGAAATCCTGCTGCAGATTAATATTGCAAGCAAGTACTTGAAGTCTGAAAAAATGGATATTCAATTAGCTATGCAATATATCAATAATTGTAAAGTAGCTCTTGATGCTCTTAGAAATAATTTTGACAGTTTGTTACTTGAAGATCAGAAAATTGCAGCTAGCTGTGAAATTGATACTAAGCTACCTCAACCTCTAATGAGAAAGCACAAAAAACAATCTCTCTATGAATCAGCTGAACAAGCACAGTTTACACCAATGGAAACTTTACGAATTAACTTTTTTAATCAGACAATAGAAGTAGCCATACATAAGTTGGATGAAGGATTCACTTAACTGAATCATTTGTGTGGAACATTTGGATTCCTTTTTATTTTTAAGACTGTTGATAAAGAAGGGTTAAGGACTAGTTGTGAAGAATTGAAAACAAAACTGTATAGAAACGGGAGAAGTGAAATTGACAGTCATAAACTTTTTACGGAAATTTTGAATATTATCAACTTACTACCAGTTGATGTGACATCACCATTTGAAGTGCTTCAATATGTTATCAAGAAAAATATGACAGAGCTATACTCTTACTTTTGTATAGCACTTCGAATTCTACTGACAATTCCAATCACTGTTGCTACAGGGAAGAGATCTTTCTTCAAGTTGAAATTGATTGAGTCATATTTGACGACCACCATGTTACAAAAGCAACTCAATAGGCTAGCATTACTGAGCATTGAGCATGAGATAAGTACTAGTCTAAAGAATGAGGAAATAATAAGAGAGTTTGCAATGATTAAGACCAGAAAGATGTCAAGATGTCAAGTTGTAAAAGTTTTTCTTGAAATACAGTTAACTGAAGGTGCTTTGAAATCATTTCCTACATTGTAATAATATACATTAAAATTGGTAAAAAAAATTATTGTGGTTAGGGGCCTCACAAGAAAGTCTGCCTGGGGCCCCAAAATAGGTTTGCACAGCACTGGATAAGACCAATAGGTCTTCTTGGAGCACCTTTATAACAATATTAGAAAATTAAAAAATAAATAAACTCCGTTTTGCTGTTTATTTAATATACTTAAAAAAGACAACCTAAAAAAAAAGGAAATAATGAATTAGTTCAACTTGATTATTTTATTGTAAAGAATGAAGTAAGCAAAAGATGACGAAGATTCTCCAAACTGTCATTTGACAGTTTTCAGAACCTTTTTTATTATATTACTATATCAAAACGATTCATGGCAAAAAACTTTTTTGTCTTTAAATTAAAGTTTTATAGGGCTAATTGCACAACCATAGTTAATTATACTGCAAAAGAAAACCAGCGTTTTTGAACAGTATGGAAACGTTAAGTTAGATGGTATCTATTTTATTTTATTATCTATCTATTTTATTTTATTATCTATCTATTTTATTAGCTATTTTAAAATCAAATCTGAAACTAACTTTGATACTTTAATAATCAATAGATATGAAATTGATGAAACTTGGTTGGATGAATAGAATTTTGTAAAAAGATTTTTTTTTTCTTTCAAGCACCTTTTACAAAACGATATATTTTTGAAAGTTCAAAACTGTAGCATCATGTCGTTGTTTCATTCTTGAAATATTCTTTGTTTATAAGGAGTATTGTTATCATAAAACATTCTTATATTTTTAAGGTAGGTGTTGTTATCATAAAAGAGGGTCTTTTATGATAAAAAATACATACTAAATTGTAAGGTATCAACTCAGCGTTGATGTCTATTACACTGAAGATAAGGGAGTAAACTAAAATAACTATTTTTTACGTACATTTTGAAGAACTTCTAAGAACTTATTTTTCAAAATATAAACTTGGTGAAAGAAATAATTAGAAAATATTTTCAAGAAAGTTTATTTATCGAAAGTCTGAAAATTTTAAGTATTGATTAAATTCTTAAAGATATCCAGAATCTCGGAGTCTGAAGTAATAACAATCTTACTAACTTAATTAGAGATTTAAAGTGAGAATCTGGAAAATCCATTGTATCTGGAAAATCCATTGTAGTCCTATCAAATCTTTTTAAACAAAATGTTGAAAAAAAAATGCAAGAGTTTTTCATGGTTTTTAAAAAAAAAAACTAGTTTCTTTGAGAAATAACATTACTTTTAACTAATTATAAATTAACAACCATTGAGGCAGGAGGTTCAACAGCCTCATTTTTCATTTTAAATTTAAGTTTTTCTGGCACCTTTAGAAAGCTCCAGTTGAGTAAAAATTTATATTTGAATTAAACCCAAGGCCCACAAATTAATTTAAGATATTTTTTTTAAAAAAAAAAGGTGCCAAAGTTCATCTGGATTCTACTTAGTATATCAAAAATAATAACAATAAAATCACCTACACATAATCTTTAGCCAAAAAAGCTAACTTTTTAATTTGGTTACTTGAAAATAGTCCCTAATCATGCATTTTTTTACTCCATCTATAGTATCGTCCACTGTGCTACATTCATGGAAGATGTAGCTTCCAACTGGCAGCTTGTAAAATGAATGCGCAAATTAATGGAAAAACCATTAAAATGTTAGCATTATAGAAATGGTAATTTTCCTTTAACTTTATTTTCAGTTAATAAAAATAAAGTTAAAGGAAATTTTGTATTCAGAACTCTTTTGATGGTTATATTTTCTATATTAAGTGTTGGTAGGTTCCGGGGTATTCTTTTAATTTGTTGATTAGAGTGAAATAGTATGTACTTAGTTTTTTCTGTATTGAGTGACAGTTTGTTAGATTTAAACCATATGTTAATTTTATTTAGTTCAGCATTTGTTTTTTCAAAAAGGTCTTTGATTGTCTTTGCTGAGTAAAATAAGTTTGTGTCGTCGGCAAACATTATAGTTTTAAATATATTAGAGGCATTTAGAAGATCGTTTATATTATTAAGATTAACTTGTCTGAATTTTAGTCTCTAAATAAAAACTCTTTGAATTGAGACAGACACCACGTGAATTGAGACAGACACCACGTGAATTGAGACAGACACCACGTGAATTGAGATAGACACTACGTGAATTGAGACAAGCACCACGTGAATTGAGAACTGGAATAAATACACTAGAAAATTCTCCCCCGTAAAACCTTATATTTAGATTTAAAATTTTATCAAAATATACTTTTGCGCTTAAAAGATCCGGCCACCAAAAAATTAGAAAAAATTCTCATTTTTTGTACGTTTTTCTGTTTAACAAAAAATTTATTGTGTTTAATATTCTAAAATCTAGAATAACTTTATTTTGAATATCTGTTTTAAATAAAGTTTTCACTTAACATTTTCCCTTAACGATTTTAATTTGGCCTAATAATGTATAATTTGAGAACTGTGGCCCAAAATTTTATTTAATCAGAAGTAATATTTGCTTATCCAAGCTTACCCATTTGTATCAATTATTGACAGTGTAAACTATATAATAGAGTTTTTTTTATATGCAAATTCGTTATGCAAAAGCTAAATAAAATTAAAGGAAGTGATAAACTTAAAGGAAGAAATTAAGTTACAGTAAGTTAATAACAAAATAAACAAAAAATAATAAAAAAAGTAAAGCATTCATAGTTAGTCTAGTAGTTAGGATTCAGTACTGTATCCTAAATACTAGAAAACCCAGCTCTGGCCACATATGCAACATTAGTAAGTAAGGATAAATTTCCTGGTTAAATGCTATTTTATGGCGCTCTGTGATAAGACTGTAAGGACTTCTTGGAATATTTAAACAATGAAAAATAAAAATAAAAAAGTTGTTATTGAAATACATATTACGTATGAATTTGTTGTTATTGAAATGTTGTTATTAAAAAATTTGTTATTGAAATACATATTACGTATGAAATACAAATACGTATACATATAATAGATAATACATATATAATAATAATATATACATACATAAATTCTATACTTAAACACCAAGAATTTTTACATTTTTTTATAGTCAATAAAAACTTTTTTTTATAAGTCAATTAAAAATTAGGTCAAGTCATTAAAAAGTTAAAAAATAAAAGCTTTTGGATGAGTTAATAGTCAATTAAAAAAATTTCGTTAGATATATAAATTGATATTTATTAGTTCTAAAAGACATGGAGGTTCATACAAAGATGGATACTGACCGCGTGCCATCAATAAATTAAAAATGCATCACCACAAAAACAATTTACAAAAATGTAAAGAAACAAAGAGTTGTTCCTTTTATAATAAATATTTGTTGAAGTCAAAAAAGTTATTTTAAAAACTCTTATTTTTAAACATTAAAATATTTTTTGCATGTACAGCTTTTAATGTCATATTATTCCTTTTGGCAGCAACTCAGTGAGAAAAACTATATTTTCTTAAATCTAAGCAACAAAATTGTTTGCGAATTTTTTTATATATGACCTTGGATGTAGCTATTGTCAATTACAAATAACATAGATTGTTCTGTACGAACCAGTTTTCGAAATATTTTAAAACATGTTACTTAGTCACTTTTCAGGCACTGAACTTCAAGTGATTCTAAACCAAGCAACTATAATCGATTATGATAAGACAAACTTCTAAAGTTCCTGATTTTCTTTGTAAGTTTTCCTTTGACACTTTTAACTGAAAATAAAAATAGTAAGAAAAATTAAGTTATTATTTCTAGTATTTACATGACATTTTAAAAATTCTGTATTTAAGACAGTTCATCAAACAATTAAACACACCAAAGAAAAAAAACATTTATGGATTTGCTGTCAAGTATTTCTGACGTTATACCAAGACTTTACGAGCTTTTAAAACAACAAAGTTGGAAGTTATAACATCGTAATTAATTTTATTCGCAAGTTCTGTTTCAATCGAAAATATAAGACAGTCTTTAAGACGATCTTGTCCGATGGCAGCTCTTATAGAGTTCTTCACGAGATCTGACTTGCTAAAAGATCTCTCGCGTCCAGCCACAGATACTGGCAAAGTAAGAAAAATACAAAGACAGATGCTTATCTGGGGGAAATTTATACAATTAATTGTAATAACTTATTAAATATACGGAAAGAAAAGTTAAAAAAAAAGTCGAACAAGTTTATAAAAAGTTTTTTTAATATAATTTTTCCTACTAGGGATTGTTCATAAACTACGCTATGCAAAATATATTTAAAAAAAACAGAAGTACGAGATATTAGGCTCTTTTACGCGGGAATTTTCATTGAGCTTGATGAGCTATTTTGATTTTTTATTAAAATTAAGACTATACGAGGAAATATTTTTGATCTTTTTTGTTTTGCTTATTCTGAAAGTTTGCGTTACATAATTTATGGATGATCTCTTATTCACGATAAAAAATGTTACATGTAGTTTGTATTTTTCTCGCATGATTTAAAAAGCTATTCAGAGGGCATACCATAAAACGTTAATACTGATTTCTGAAGAAAAGAATAACACGTGGTCTCTATAAAAATGGTCTTAGGAATCAGTAATCAATTTAATCAGACTGAATCGAAACAAAACCGAAAATCAAGATATAATAACAAAGTAAACAATTTTCATTTTTTTATTGGATGTTTTTAATTATTTTTTTGGCATACTCATAGTTATTTATTATCATCTGATGATTTCTCATAAGCAAAATGCCCGGGGACACAGACCCGGATTCCCAACCCTCTATGCGCTCCTGATTCTAAATGCAAAACACTTACTAATAGACACTGATAGTTGCCACGTTTTTGCCCAGAGTACAAGCCTATTTAGAGCAACTACTAAATCTTGACACGTTATACACGTATACTATTTTCACGATTTGTTAAAAATTTCAAATTTTTAAATTCAACGGGAGTATTAACTTTTCTAAAATAATCTTATATTCCAATTTAATTTTTTATATTAAAATTATTTTTAATTTAAGCTTTTTTGTTCCTTTTTTTTTATTTTTTGATAAGTTGTTAAAAGATTGTTTATTCTTTGTTAATTTGTCAAAACCAAATCAATTTTAATTTTTGTACGTTGAAACTGTACGTTTTAGAAAATAGATTAATAATAATAAACATATCTTTTGAGCCCTAAAATATATTTGATAAAATTAGAAATCTACTTATTAATTTTAATCCGGTTTAAGGTAAAGCAATTTTATTCTTAAAAAATTGATTTGCCCTAACCAGGGGGTTTCTAGAAGATTTTTTATAAAGGATTGCGCTGTTACATTGTTAAAACACCAAATGTACTTCGATTAAAATCTTTTCTTATTTACAAAATTGCACAAATGCGTTTGCGTCTTACGTCAAACGTTTGACTTCAAAATGTTTACAAACAAATTTGACGTTATTTAATGAGACATAATGACGTTGTTTAACGAGGAAAATAATTCTCATTAAATAACGTCAATTGTTTAGTGTTTTTTTAAATTAAAATAATTTGTCTGAAATATCAATTTATAAAAATTTAAATAACCTAATATAGAACATAATAATCAAAGTTTTTTTTCAAAACGAGATAGTTTAAGTAAGGTTTCATTAAAAAAACGAGATAGTTTGAGTTAAGTTTCATTAAAAAAACGAGATAGTTTGAGGTTTTATTAAAAAAAAAAGGAGTTAAACCTGTTTCTGCTGTGTTGAGACAAAAATGTTGTCATTGTTATTTTTTCGATCCTGAATTAAGTTCCAGTGTAATTATCCAAGACGAAGACCTAATAATCAAAACTCGGCAACAGTCTAATACCATTGATAGATTGATAATTGACAGCTTCAAGGAATTCTTTCAAAGTACAAGATTGTTTTGAACCAGTACTCCTAAAACGAGGAAGAAAAAAAAAAAAAATGCGCTTCCTGAAAAAAAGCGTTAGAAGTGAAGACCTTCTTGGCGTTGATAAAGGAGTGGGTCCGCAAAGTTTACATGCCTATGCTGTTAGCAATGATACAAGTTTAAAACCAGTTCATTTATAGTAAAAAAAAAATCCAGTAAATGAAAAAAAAAAAAAGTTGATTCATTGTAAAATAATGGTGACTACAAATATGTTTTGCAGGATAGTAATGAAGAACTATTTTTTTCTAGTTAATTCGAAGAAATTGATTTTGGTATTGCTCCTGGTAATCCTTTAAACCCAGATACATGCATCACCCAGCATAACTATATTTTGTTAAGGTTTATGGTAAACAAGAAATTCCTTTAGATGTTATATTTTTTAAATAAAACACATCAAAAATCGACAGTCGGAAGAAAAAAAAAATTCGCAATGAATCCTTGATCTCCAAAATAGATGTGATTCAAATATTGTTCTTGCCAATTATGAAATCAAAATATCGTTTTATAAACCTGCTTCATTTCAAAATTATAATAACTGATGTTGGAATTTATCAAATATTAATTAAAGTACCCGTTATATGTTAATTTATACTATCTATGGTATTTATAAGTTTTTTGTTTATTTATTGAAGTTGAGTAATTAACAACACATTGTATTTCATCTTGTTTCAACTCGCCTAAGATATAAAAGGAAATAAACATATATTTGAAGACCTGTTTCTACTCATCCCATTCTGCGGGATTTATTGTTATTTTTTGAATTTTAAATGTACCAAAGCATTTCATAAACTGAAAGCGGAATTACAGACCTGAAATTTTGGGCTATAATTTGAATTTTTTATATATGTTGCATGAAAAAATTTTCAATCTACATTTCATAAGCGTTTCCTCTCACTCCATTTTATGGTATATCTTGCGACAAAATAATAGATAAGTTTGAGGAAAAAACTCTTCACTTGAAATCACTTGTTAATGATTGGTTTAGAAAAATGGTTGCACTTGGATGGAAATGTCACATAGTTAGATTCAATCTCACAAATTACCTTGATAAATAGAACATTCTGTTTAATGTTACACCAGAAAAAAACATCAGAAGCAGCACATAAAAATCTAAACAAGTCACTAATAAGATTTTTTACTCAAAATCTCTAAAAAAAAGAGCAATGTAATGTTTCTCACATTTTAAAGCACATTTCAGTAAGTTTTCTTTAAAATAAAACAATAGTCTCTCTATAAAATGGAACAATAGTCGCTCATATTTTTGTAGCATTTTAAAGATCATTAGATATTACGTTATATTAAAAACATTTATCAGAATAACAATTTTTTAAACTTTAAAAATGAAAATATTATGATGGAAGTATCAATCAGAATAGGATCTCAGATGGAAGTATCAATCAGAAGAGGATCTCAGTGGAAGACAGCAACGCGTTGTGAAACATTTACTCAAATTTATAATGTGAGTATGTAAAGTGTGCAATGAGTTTCATTCGGGCACAAGACGTGTTTCAGAGTTTTAAAACATATTAAAACGTACTAATAGGTTTTCTAAATGTTTCAATTACGTATTATGTTCACCAGGTTAAATGCTTCAGCTCTTTTTCAAAATACACCCAGGGCCGTCCCAAAGAGATTTTTTTTAGAGGGGGTGCTATGTCTGTGTTTTGCCGACAAAAGCCCAAAAAACATTTTTTTGTTCACAAACTTACCTAAAAAAAAAAAAAAAAGTCTTTGTTTTCCAACATTTGCCGACTGCCAGCAATAAATCCAATTTTGCCGATTCTGGTGTCCAATTTGCCCACTAATAAAATTCGTGGGGGTGCTAGACACCCCCTCGGTACGGCCCTGAAACATCTTATTGCTTTTTTAGGAAAAGGACATACTTTTACTAGTTAATGACAGTTATGCAGTTATTAAACTTGCTAAAATAGCGCAATGCATAATTAATATGTAATAAAACTAAACGAGACATCCTACAATCTACATTAGCACTTGCGTGGTAAGCATTTGTTGTTTTTCCTTTGAATTGTCGAGACAAATGAATAGTATGCTACAACTACAACGCGTGAAAACGTTTAATATTTATTTGTTATTGCATTGTTGAAAAACACATATATAGTAAAAAAAATCACACCGTTTTGTTGGAAGCCTAATAAATCTTTTCCAAAATGTGGAAATTGGAGGCATACTTTTTACCACGGAATAAAGTATGGCTCCAAAAAACTTTTATAAATGTTTTGAAAAGATTCGAAAAAACTTTTTATTCTTAATATTTTTTTTTATTTTTATTCTTTCTCAAAAACGTTTTTTATGAATAAATTTTTTTTTTGTGAAGGTTATTCATAGTTAAGCTATTTTTAGCCCTATAATTATCCCTATAATAACAAAAAACCAGATATTTTTGACGCGCGTTTTCAACGTTTATTAATAGTATATATAAATTACGTCATAATTTTTTTGTTGGCTTTTCTGCCACCAATCATGTCATTTGTACGTGTTTATTATCTTGTTTTTTTTAATGGCTCATTAACCATAATGGTTTGTTATTTTATTTACACAGTTTTACAAGTAAAGTTAAAATATTGTAGCAACATTACTCAAAAATGACACCTACCATAAATAGAAATTAAAAAAAAGATTATTTAACTCTTCACTATAAAAAGCTTACTGTTTAAATCATTAAGTTAAAAAAAAATGTCTGGCAAAAATCGGAAGCCTTTTAAACGTTCACCCAAATGCTCAAGATGTCGTAACCACGGTATAAAGAATGCGTTAAAAGGACACAAGCAAACTTGTCTTTTCAAAGAATGCGTTTGCATGAAGTGCTTGATTAGCGCCGATACTCAAAAAAATACCGCTGATCGAATTGCACTTTATCGACAACTTGTTCGAGCTGAGAAAATGAGGAAAACGGAGTTTCATTCATCGAACTCCGCCAATTTCAAAAAAGGTAACAAAATGTGAAAATAAAAAAACCAACCTACAATTGATTTACTTCAATATTGTTGTCTGGTTATTATTAAAACTTAATAAGAGTTTGTTTTTATTTAGCAATTCTTAAATTTTAATTTAATAAAAATCTTTATAAAAATTGAAAAAATGCAATTTTGTTTTAAAAGTTTAATTGTTATCTTAAAACAAAATTTAAAAATTTAAAACACAAATTTACCTGTATTGCACAAAGATGGAATTAAGCAAAATTTATATTCCTGATGTTAATATAAAGTATTTATACAAACATTAGTAAATTGTTAATACATCTTAACTCTGAAATTTAATGAACACTTTTTTTTTTTTTTATAGAATCGACTGAATCCATATCAAATTCAAATAACGACAACAGTTTAACAGCTAAGTATAGTGATGTTTATATAGATTTGAACGATTCAAAAAAGTTTCAATTCAACGTAATTAAAACTGAAAAAATGGCTTTTCCTTTTAATACTTCTAATATAAATAGCCAATCGCACGTTAATCGAGATTACAACGAACATTTTTATAAAGGATCTTTCAACCAAACTTCTTGCAATGGAAGCTTAACTAACTTATTTATAGAAAAATCTGAAAATTATAATTCATTTCAAATACTCCAATTTAGTGATAAGTACAATTGTCCACTGAAGATATTAAAACATGGTGTATGTTGTTCTGAACTTTACTGTCCTGTTCGTTCATACTACGCACTTAAAAGAAATTTTTCAATAAAAAATAAATTTGAAGATGTCTGAAATTTTTATTCAGTAAATTGTTTTACACATAAAAATTCTACTCGTATTTTAGCGTTTTTTCAAAAAGCTACACACTTTGAAGATAAGCATATATTTATTCATGTATATATATTTATATGATATATATGTGGAAAGTATAATGATTTTATGAAATAATTCAGATGAAAAATTTATAAAATATGCATTTTTTTCCAATGTAAATGGGGTATAAACAATGGAAAAGATATTTAATAGGGAACTGGAGTCGTTAATGTTTAACAACATACTATTTTTTCATTTTTATCTCAACACCGTCGTCAAAATGAAATTACTTTCAACAGAAACTCTTTCCTAATTTTTCTATGTAACATTTGGAGATGAAAACAGTTTGTTTTTTTTTAAGAAAAAAAAGCGGCTGTAAAAGCTGTTTTGAACAAAAATAATAGTAGTATTAAAAGGATTGTGGGTGGGAACTTTTATTTGTTTCTTTGTTTCACTTAAAAAAAGAAGATACACATCTGTTAATTTTGGATATTTGTCCTAGTTGATAAGAAACTACACAAGATCAAACGGAGTTTACATACACAGTATCAAGCTTTTTTTTCATAACTTTTTTTCAAATGTCAGGAAAAACTATTTCTACTCAACTGCTTTCGTAAATGTCTGGAAAATGTGATTAACAATGTTTGGCACAAATTATTTCAAATTGACTTCCGGTTTATTCTCTTTAATTATTATTCGTAACTATATTTAAAATAAATGTTTATTTCCTTCATTTCTTAAAAAAAATGTTAAAAAAATTAGATTTGATTTTTTTTTTTTTTTTGATTAAAAAAAAACTCTTATTGCACTATAATAGAGGTGAAGAACAGAGATAATATCGATAATATAACAGAAATAATATCAACGAATTTTAATTCGTCGATATGTCTTTGTTATATTATCTCTGTTATATTATCTCTGTTATATTATATATTATATTACCTCTGTTATATATTATATTAAATTTATTTTAAAAAAAAAGTCTATTGAGAGTTTAAAAACTCTTTAAAGACTTTTTTTCAAATCAAAACATTTCAATCAACGGATTTAGGAATTTTTTTGTTCAACAAAAAACTACAGTTATTGAAAACAAAATAGTTCCCAAGGTTAATTGATGATGATAACTCTACTAAGATTATTGTAATTTTAGTAGAGCTATCATCAAAAGCAATGAAGTACGTGTTCCTTTAAACACATTGAAAGTTATTGTCCTAAAGAATCAGACAATTTTGAAGAAAAAAAAAAACTAAATGTCACCAATTCCGCTCTTTTTTATATATTTGCTTTGTATAATAGATGGCAGGGTAAATGCAAAACATTTTATCAAAATAATTGGCGTTCGGCCATGACGGTACTTTGAAAATCGGACGAATTTTATTCAATTGGCTTATTTTGCACATAGTCAATCTTATGATTATGCTTTGCATTATGTCATTCTTTAAGAAGCTATAGCTGGAATATTATTTATTTTAAAAATGTTTTGTCAACTTATTTATAAAAGCCAGCTACAAGTTTTGCTAGAAAAATAAAATATAAAAAATAAAGTTATTCGCTGTCTAGAAGCCATAGTCTAAAAGTACAATAATTGTGAAAAATTACAATAATTGTGAATTACAATACAATAATTGTGAAAAAGTACGAATTTTAACAAGCCGTAAATGTTGAAGCCAACATAGCCACGCGGACTTTTTTACACTATATAGTAGCTGTGGATCTAATCTTTCAATAAAAAAAAATTGCGCGTGGTTGCATTCGCATCTCAAAAAACCAGCCGTTAAAAACATGTTTTAGAAAAAACTGTTCTAACTTTAGACCGCTATAAAAACTGAAGCCAAAAGGTTTTTAAAAAACTATTAACTGGAAATATGTTTATAAAAATGTAGACTGCCATATAAAAAAAATTTAGGTGCCATCGTAACTTACTCTCTAGAAAAATCAATTTGAAAAAAAGATAAAAATCTGAGTTTCTTCATAATATATATATATATATATATATATATATATATATATATATATATATATATATATATATATATATATATATATATATATATATATATATATATATATATATATATATATTTATTTATTTATATTTATATATATATATATATATATTTATATATATATATATATATATATATATATATATATATATATATATATATTATATATATATATATATATATATATATATATATATATATATATATATATATATATATATATATATATATATATATATATATATATATATATATATATATATATATATATACATATATGGGTCAAACCCCACCTCTGGGCAAGCTTTACGACATCGGTTGGGAAGGAGGCGTAAACTTCCTAATAAATGCGCAGTGCTCTGTAATAAGACCGTAAGAACTTCTTAAGGCACCTAAATCAACTTTTAAAAAAAAAATTAAAAAAAAAAAAAAAAACTAGTACGTTTATGGTAGAATAAATTAAATTAAAAGTATTCTGCTTATTTCCGACGAAGAAGTATTCTATTCAAGATAACTTTAGCTTTATCGGAATCGCTTACAGGTACAGTGAAATATGATCTTAGATTGATTGGAATAGGTAGCACAATTTGACATAAAATTTGATTTTCCTCATAGTAAAGGATTTGTTCTGTTACTAACCATTTGAAACAGCTTTTGTCACATGCTGCTATGTATTCCATGCACGAAACATTTATGCTATTCTTTATTACACAGTGAAACAATTTATTAAATTGAATAACTACATTTGAATATAAAAAAATGTTTAAACGTTTTATTTCAGAAGACAACAAATATAAAAGGTTGCCTTTATAACTATACCAGGGTACAATATGCTATTATGCTCCACAATCACCAACTGTCTCTCTTATACACAGCTAAATTTACATTCTATTATACTCATCTATAATAAAATGTAACTGAATAAACAAATACCCTAATAATAGAAATAATTCACTGATACTAAAAAGTATTAATGAATTCACTGATACAAAAAAAATAAGCATATATTAAAATCAGAGAGTTTTCTGTTGTTGTCATTTAACTATCCATGTCAGTATTATATTTTAAATACTGTAATAATATATTATAATATAACATTCACCTGTTCTTGTATTACCATTCCAAATTCATTTTCATCATCTTCATCGTTATTTTCTACATTTTTACCATTGTAGCTATCATAATTGTCTTTATTATTCAGCTCTTCTTTGTCAATTAGCTGATTGCTTGCTGTTTCTATCGGTTCTTTTAATGATCCTTCTTTATACTTTTTAGCCATCTCGAAAACAAAAATTTAATCTGCTGCAAAATAAAATATTGGTCGGGATTTAAATCTTTACGAAGTAACTTCTCCGCCTGATTTGGACTCATTTTCTTACCTGTCTGTTGAACTTTCATGAAGTATTTATACAGCAAGTAACTTTGAAAAAAAGGAAATGGAAAAGTGCTTTGTACTGGTAGAGCCCACCCAACTTCTTGAAATGAAAACATAATAGAAAATTGTTCACATGTAGTTTTGAGAGTCACATCAGATATATATTAAGTATGCCTCTTGATATGGGTTTTGAAAAGTTTTGAAAACGATTTCATTTCTTACACAAACGACTTTTTAACTTTATCCATTGCCGATGTTATTTGCAAATGGCGGTGAATACCGTGTGCGTATCAAACTCAATCCTGTCAATAGATGATGCACTAAAACCACTCTCTTGACAGAAAATTGCATAGTTGCCTTCACTTGCTTTTGGCTTTATTAAATTTTTCTCGCTTATTAGACGTTTATCTCTTGAAGAATGATTTGGCAGTCAGATACAAATGTAATGCCACTATATAATTGATCGACATCTTGCCATATATCAAAATATCAATTTTGTATGTTCTGCAAAATACTGTTCTAATTGATACAAACTGACATTCTTGATAACTTCACCTGATAACGATGTTTTATCACTATTAATTTTTAATACTGACACTTTTGCATTACTTCTACGTTGCTTCTATTAATGAAACTGTATACGATGTTTTTTGCTGCCGCACTATCACGGTCGTATTGATCCTTACCTTTTGATGGCTTGTTGTTGGGTATAGGATGTTGTTGGGTATAGGATGTAGGATGGGTAGGAGTAAGCCACTTTTTTTTAAATCGATTATATTAAAAGTGGAAAAAGTATAAGCTAAGGAGCCTAAGGTAGTCTAAAGTTAGGCTTAGGCTTCTAATAGTAATACATGAAATATCAAAATATCTTCAAATTTTTATAACTTAAACAATAAGGCAGGTGTTGCTACTGATTCACTCCTACCCATGCATGGGTAGGAGTGAACCAAGCAATTAGTAGGAGTGAGCCATTATCTTTGATTAACAGAAAACTAAAACTAGACATATTCTTTAACTAATTTATTGAAAATTAAGTAAATAACAAATACTTTATAATTAAGCATAACATAATTAAGGAATAATGTAACATAAATAACAACAAATTCAACACTAAATTTTAAACTAAATAATTTGTTTTAAGAAGCAACTGATTTTGAGAACAAAATAAAAAACAAATGACAAATTATAATTTCCAAATATTGGGGTATAATAAAAGTATATATATATATATATATATATATATATATATATATATATATATATATATATATATATATATATATATATATATATATATATATATATATATATATATATATATATATATATATATATATATATATATATATATATATATATATATATATATATATATATATATATATATATGTAATGAAAGTTGTATATTAGCATATAGTATATTAGAAATAAAAATAATATTTAACAAATGATAGTCAAGAAAAAGTTGGTTGAGGTAGCAATATTTTGGAAGTTATTGCAGTTTCTCTACTACTTTTTTCTTTTTGGATTAAATGTAATGCATCTTTCATATATTTACTGGAAGTTTTTGCTTTCGAAGTTGTTCTTTTATAGACTCGAGGCATTATAAAATGTGGTAAAAATAAATGTAATGTTGCACACGAGTTTTCTAATGATATACTAAGATATAAAAGTCAAACGTAAATATGTTTTTACGCTGAAGTCAAAAGTTTTTTAACGTGAAGTATTAGTGAGCCGCGGTTCATTCCTACCCGTGAAAGAATGGCTCATGGATTAACTGGATTAAAATATTAAATGTGCAATAAGTGCATGGTTTATGCATGTAAAATACATTGTTCTTAAAACTACATTGTTTATT